GCTGGGAGAAGTTGTGGTGTTTGGCGCACCTTTCCTTGCTGAGCGCACCCCTGCTAGCCTTGCCTCCTCTGTCGTCTTCATTGCCCTCACCTTTCTCGTTTGCCGCTTCCGCGGCAACCTCGAGGTGCCAAGTGGGCAGCGTCGCGCCTGCGCACGCGCGAGCCCCCGACATCAGCGACGGAAGCGATGCTATGCATCCCGCCCTGGATTTGTCGGGAGGCTCGCGCGCGCGCGCGTCCGTGCTCTTGTGGATTCCATAGATTGCAATTAGAACAGCATAGCAAGATAGCACGTGAGATTGCACGTGCTCTTGCATACGCCTGCCTCCAGGCGCTAGGCTAGAATAGTTCCCCTTGGTTTGTGATTGATAGGGCTGAGATCTTGATTGGGCGAGATCTCGGGGTAAAGTCGCCTCCAGAAGCTTTAGACACGTTTTCCGCGTCGCCGCTGTTTTCATGGGCCCGGGCCGTTCCTCGATGCCACGGGGGCCGAGTTTGAGCCCGCTCCGGTCCGTCATTTGGGGTGTTGCTTCGCTGGTGCGTGCTTGATTGCATCGTCGCGAGGGGGGCGTCGGGGGCGGGCCGTGGATGCAGGTCTTGAGTTTGAGATTCTCTTCACCATCGTGTATGTGTGCTTAAGTGCGCGAGTGCATGTGTGTATGTGTGGAGGTGTGCGCGTGCGTGCGTCCGTGCGTGCGTGCGCGTGTGCGTGCGTGCGCGTGCGTGCGTGCGTGCGCGTGCGTGCGTGCGCGTGCGTGCCTGCGTGCGTGCGTGCGTGCGCGCGCGTGCGGTCGCGCGTGCGTGCGCGCGCGCGTGCGCGTGCGCGTGCGCGTGCGCGGTCGCGCGTGCGAGTGCGCGTGCGCGCGTGTGCGTGCAGGTTTGTGCGGGTGCGTGAGTGTGCGTCTGCGCGAGCGTGAGCGTGCGCGCGTGCGCATACGCGGGCGGGCGCGGGCGTGCGCTGGCGTGCGCGGGCGTGCGCGGGCACGTGCGTGCGCGTGCGTGTGCGTGCGTGTGCCTGCGTGTGCGTGCGTGTGCGTGTGCGTGCGTGTGCGTGCGTGAGTGTGCGTGTGCGCGTGCGGGTGCGGGTGCGGGTGCGGGTGCGGGTGCGTGTGCGTGCGCGTGTGCGTGTGAGTGTGCGTTTGCGTGTGCGTGTGCGTGTGCGTGTTCGTGTGCGGTTGCATGTGCGTGTGCGAGTGCGTGTGTTTGTGCGTTTGCACGTGCGTGTGCGTGTGCGTGTGTGTGCGTGTGTGCGTGTGCGTGTGTGCGTGTGCGTGTGTGTGTGTGTGTGTCTGTGTGTGTGCGTGTGCGTGTGCGTGCGCGTGTGTCCATGTGTGCGTGTGTGCGTGTGTGCATTTTTGCGTGTGTGCGTGTGTGCGTGTGCGTGTGCGTGCGCGTGTGTGCGTGTGTGCGTGTGTGCGTGTGTGCGTTTTTGCGTGTGTGCGTTTTTGCGTGTGTGCATGTGTGCGTGTGTGCGTGTGTGCGTGTGCGTGTGCGTGTGTGCGTGCGTGCGTGTGCGTGTGTGCGTGTGTGCGTGCGTGTGTGCGTGTGTGCGTTTTTGCGTGTGTGCCTTTTTGCGTGTGTGCGTTTTTGCGTGTGTGCGTGTGTTCGTTTTTGCGTGTGTGCGTTTTTGCGTGTGTGCGTGTGTGCGTGTGTGCGTGTGTGCGTGTGTGCGTGTGTGGGTGTGTGCGTGTCTGCGTGCGTGTGCGTGTGTGTCTGTGTGTGTGCGCGTGTGTGCGTGTGTGCGTGTGTGCGTGTGTACTTGTGTGCGTGTGTGCGTGTGTGCGTGTGTGCGTGTGTGCGTGTGTGCGTGTGTGCGTGCGTGCTTGCGTGCGTGCGTTCGTGTGTGTGTGTGCATGTGTGTTTGTGTGTGTGTGTGTGTGGAATCGAGGTGTTCGTGGCCTTGGGCTCGCCGATCCTATGTGGTTTTTTGTTGAAAAATGTTTTCCTGGTGAATCGACCAGCGAGATCAGCGAAGCCCATATTAGCATGACTTACGCATGCCATCTCATTCTCCTCCGTCATCCTCCATCTCGTCGTCATCTGCCCTCGAAGGCTAATACTGCGAGGGCCCGCAGGGGGCCCGCTGAATTTAATCGCTTCGCCCTTTCCGCCGGCCACGACGGTGTTCTCGTTGCCGCATGCCTGTCTGGCCGTAGCGACTGGGAATGTGCCCGCGCGCTCGTGGCCAAACGGAGATGTCTGGGAGGCCGTTTCCGGTTGTTTGACGTTTTTGCGTTGTGTCGCCCAGTGTTTTTTCGATCGAAGTTTATCGATCGCCTAACAAGGTGGCCAGGTGATTGCATTTCGGGCTCGCGCGGCGCAGCCACATGAAAACCATCCCGCGTGGACTTGGCATTCAGACACAGTTTGAAGACGATGCTAGGCACGCGTGCGCAGCACGGACGTGCAAACGTCGATTGCGCCTGAGACACCGCATAAGTTTGCGGTATCCTAGATGGGTTTACACTTTTAGGGGCATCAGCATTATGCCTGGACTCCTTATAGTGACTTGCGGCGCCCAATACACCCTGTGCCCCCTTTGTGGTCATGCTGTTTAAATGGGTTTGTGGCAAGCCATTGTGTTGCCCTCGGCACAGTCGGGTGTCATTGGTAGGTCGACCCTTTGAAATCAGGAGTGCCCTTGTGGTCCGCGGCTCGCCTCCCATATCCTTAGAATCCATGTGACAATGTGCCCCTCGGGAGGGCCTTGTGTCCTCTCGCGCGTCCTCTCCAACCCAGCTCGGCAGTATCGGCATCTCCCCTGGCCTTAGTCTCAGACCTAATCGGGCGGAGCTCCTCGCGCCGACTGCGCCGGCGACCAAAAGATGGCGGTAGCACTCCAACTGTTTAGCACAAAAAGAGGTGCGCTCCTCTTTTGGCACTGTCGGTGTGCCAGCATCACGGGAGGGATAACCATCAACACATGCTCAAGGGGGGGCGTCATGCAGCGCCTTGGGCGATGATTGATGTTCGAGGCGTGTTCGTGGGCGGCGTCGCCGTCAGTGTGATTTCAATCGGACCTGGGAGAGAAGAACACCTCCAAGAACACGAGACCCCCCGCCGCCAACACACACAGGACAGCCTAGGGTACACTCCCCAGGATGCACAGGAACGTGCAACAAACACAAAGAAAATTGGGGTACCCTCCCCGAAACGACCTCGACCTTATACCTCGGTCCGACTGTATCTGACGGTCCTCTCCAAATCTGTCGCGGCGGCAGATGGCCAATCCTTCCGCCGGGTCCACCGTAGGGCCGCGAAGATAGAAGCGCGCTTCGCGGCCTGGGCCAGCCAGGGACCTGTCCTTCTCCAGGAGAGGGGCGTGCATCTGCGAGAGCGCGAAGCTACCCTGGCTCCTCCTCCTCCACCCTCCTCCTCCTCCTCCTCCTCCTCCCTCCTCCTCTCCTCCCCTCCTCCTCCTCCTCTTCCCTCCTCCTCCTTCTCCTCCCCCTCCACTCCTCCTCCTCCTCCTTCTCCTCCTCCTCTCCTCCTCCGCCCTCCTCCCTCCTCCTCCTCCTCCTCCTCCTCCTTCTTCTCCTCCTCCTCGTCCTCCTCCTCCTTCTCCTCCTCCTCCTCCTCCTGCCTCCTCCTCCTCCCTCTTCTCTTCGACTCATCGGGCGGCTCTGGGCGTGGCGCTGGCCAACCTGGGGAGCCTGGAGACGGACCGCGGAGACCGCATTCTAGAAAAGTCGTGCGGACGTCAACGGGGGGGGAGGGAATAGACGTGGAGGGGTGGAAAGATCAGGCGATCGCAAACATGGATCAGGGGGGCGTGGATTAGCGACGGGTCCCGTTTCGATTGGAAATCTCGGATTTCTGCCTCCGAGCGAGGCGGCACCGTCCGCATTTTTGGGAGGGCACCTCCTGCGATCCATGGATTTGGTGACCGCGCGCCAAATCCATGGATTGCCAGTCCATGCTTGCGCGCACCCGAAAAAAAGGCGCACCTCCCCAGCACCCTCCTGGGGCCGCGGCGGCCCCTCGGGGCCTTCCGCTCTCCTGCGACCCTCGATCGCCCCCGGCCGTTGCCCCGCATCCATCGTGTGTGGGAGATGTCGCATCCATAGGCTCGGCCTCGCTGCCCTGACTCGGCGGCACGGATGCGGACCGGCTCTGCGCGATTGCCTCGCGCGGAGCGTATCCATAGGATCGCGTGTCCGTAGGATCGCGCCTCCAAAGCCAGACCTCGGGGGCATGGACCTTGAGATCCGACGGCGCGAGCAAACAAGAAATCGTGACACCAGTTTCGAGCCGGATCGACCTGTAATGGTCTTGGGTCCTGAGACCGGACGGAAACGCCCGATCTGCACAGATTGCGACGCCAAGATCTCAGGGGATGTGGACGTGCTCGTCGCTCGTGGCTCTCGACGCGGACGGACTCGCGCGGCGCCGTGGGGCTCGACGTGGGGAGGGTGGGTGCGCATGGTCTTGGAGCATGTGTTGCCCTGTTCTGCCCTGTGCCTTGAACGCAGCGCTGGCCATCCAATAGGAGGAGGAGGGGGAGGAGGAGGAGGAGGAGGAGGTGGAGGAGGAGGAGGGACCCAGACCCCCTCGCGCTGTGGAAAAGAAGCATGACGGAGGTTGTGCTTGTATGTTCAGCCTCTGGGACCCCTCGCAGGCCCCACGACCATCAGACCGTGAGTCGGGATGAAGGGCCGATCCTGGGGCTTGCGGCCGACGTTCGTGAAAGAGACCATGTGTCATTCCCTGCCGATGGCGGGCGTGACCCGGCGGTGGGGGGGAGAGCGTGCCGGTCATGTCACGATTTTCGCCGGCGCCGTCCGGGAATACTTAGGAGTGGCGAATCATCGCCAGACGGCGCCAGCGCGAATCGTGACGCGACCCAGAACTGGTCGATGTTGAACGATTGGACGTTGCGGGAAAGGCCGATCGCTCAAGGTTGAACGAGCCACGCGGTGTCAGAAACCAACGCTGGGGTCGTCACGACGCGAACCTGCCGTACCAGGAGGGTGCCAGTAGGAGGAGGGAGAGCCATCACAGGACGCGTTCTACACGATGATACTGCGGGACCCCATGGAGCGGGCACAGTCGCGGGCACAGAGGACCCCGATCTGCCAGCCACGGTGAGGGTGAGGAAAAAAGGGAAGAGGAGCTTCTGCCCCATCCAGGATGAAAGACGGAAGGGGGAGGAGAAACACAGCAGACGGAGGGGGGAGCAAGAGGAACGAAGAGAGTAGGAGGGATGGAGAAGACAGGATGAGGGAGGAGAGAGAGCGGAGGGAAGGAGCGAGGAAGGAGCAAGCAGGAATGATATTGATGCCAACGTTGACCGCCATGCCATCGCGTGGCAGTCGGACAACCACTCCGCGAGCCTTCCAGAGATCTCCCCTCAGCCTCACGAGCAAATGGGGCCTCGGAGGTCCCGTCTCGGGCCTGGGACCGTCAAGAACCCGAGTCTGGAACGTTTGCTTAGCGTGTCGCGCCGCGGGTTCTGGCGCACCACGCTTCGGTGCGAGACGCTCAACGCGTCCCAGATCCCCAGGCGTCAGTGTCCCGAGCCGTTCCGCGCCTCCCGTCCCGCGAAGCAGAGCGACGCGCTGTCAGCTCGCGGGACGTAGCATGTCGCCGGGGCCGCCGCCGCGACACGCTAAGCGAAAGTTCCTGACCGCATCTGGGTGGGGGGAGGTCCGAGGGAGGGGGAGGGGGAGGCACTTGGGCGTTGCGGAATGGGGGGGCGATGGATTGGGGGGGGGCCCAGAGAGGCCCTGAAGGGGCCCCCTTGGGGTGCAGAAGGGGCACGAAAGGTGCACGCTTCTTCCCTCCCCATGTGGGGCGTTCCAAATGTGGGCCTTGCCTTCGGGAATCGAAGGAGTTGTCATCTCTTCCGCGGCGGAAGGTCGGCGGAAGGTCGTAGAACGAGGCCGCCTCCGCCGGCGGAAGCCGGCGGACGGCCAGCGGAAGGTGGCGGACGTAAAAAGTGCGCCCCCAGGAGATGGAAACGTTTCTCTTGGATTCAGGGTTGCCGCAATCGCCCACGCATCCCCCCCCCCACACCCAGTATTGGCAACGCCCGAGGCACGCCACGAAGGGAGCACGACGCTAGACGAGTGGGCCTCAGGCCGCCGCTTCCTCGTGCCGCGCTGCTCCTCGGGCGCTCCGCCGCTCCTCGTGCCGCGCTGCTCCTCCTGCTCCTCGTCGCCCTTGTCCTCGTCCTCGTCGTCCTCGTCCTGCTCCTCGCGCTCCTCGTCGTCCTCGTCCTCCTGCTCCTCGTCGTAATCGTCCATGTCGTCGTCGTCCTCGTGCTCCTCGTTCTCCTCGCTCCTCGTCGTCCTCTGGCCGGATCGAGCTGCAGATCAGCGCCTGAGGTCACAGATGTATGCGAACATGCAGTCTTGGGCTTCAGTCCGAGCCTGGCTCGCCGAAGGCGAGAGCTGGCCGACTCCCTACAACTACCTCCACAGCCACATCCCCTTCGACAACTTCTACGTCGGCTGCCTAGACTGAGTGCCCCTGGCAACCTTGCCCGGGGTGTAGGCCTACTGGGGCATGCGCGTGCGCGTGAATCGCTGGGCAGAGCCTCTGGTGCGCACTCAGGGCAGACCCAGGCACCCCGCGGATTTCGGCACGCCTCTCACACGCCCTGTGCCCCCATTGTGTCAAAAGCTTCGCTCGAGGGCCAGGCCGGCGCGCCCACCTGCCGCACCCCGCCCATTTCGGCCCACCCCTCGCGCGGATCGTGCCCATCGCGCCTGCGATGCTTGCTCCGCACCGCCCTTGTGCGCACTGCCCCGCGGCGTGTACTACTTGGAAGAGCGAGCCGCGCCCTGCGCCATGTGCGCAGTTGCACGGAGAGTCGGGCCCTTCGCGGCAGCGCACCCGTCTCGCGCAGGTCGGGTGGAGCAGGCCCCAGGCCCAACCGACGCCCTGAGTTGTTGTTGGCATCGTCGACCCGACAGGTCTCGACCCACTTCCCGGAGCCGGCGTTTCATCCCGAGTGATTTTCCGACGGCCCCGAGGCTCGGCATGATGGAGACACGTGTCAAGAGACGCCCTGCTTGCCTCCGGGGTGCCCTGTGTTTCTTGGGTTTCGATGGGCTTGCGATGGAAAGCGTGACGCTCCCACGCCAAAAATCAATGGACATCCTGGGGTCTCAGGGTCGGGTTTCTTGTTGCGGCGCGAGGGGGCCCCGGGGTGCCATGGCCGACCTCCCGCTCTGCCGTGGCTCCGGCCCCCTTCTCGAGCCAGGCCCACCGAGTGGGTGCGCAGATCCTCGCGCCTCGCGCACTGCGGCCCGGCCGCTGCAGCAGCGCCCTTCTCTCCAGGGCGGCGGCGGCGCCCTTCTCTCTGGCAGGGCGGCGGCGCGAGGGCGTGAGAAGGGCCGCGCACCGCGGGGGCCCACCACGTTTCGGCGCGACACGCTATCCACCTCCTGGTCCCCAGGCATCAATGCTCCGAGCCTTTCCCAGACTCCCGCCCCGCGGGGCGCAGCGACGCGCTGTCTTGCAGCAGAAGGGGTAACGTGTCGCTGGGGTCGCCGCCGTAACATGCTAAGTAACAGTTCCCGATTCCTGGTTGAATGTGACCTGGCTCCGCGTGGATCTCCCGCCTTTGGCAGCTTCTTGCGGAGCCCTGGCTCCCGAAGCGGACCCCCGTGGTCCGGGACTCAGCTAGCAACATCGGGCGTCCTGAATTGCCAAAAGGGCGCCAGCGGTGTGGGCCCTCTGGCCGCGTTGGTCGGGCCAAGGGGGGCCGTTTGGGACGACCCAGTGTCCTCGGAAGGCCCTCGACGAGGCGCAGCTGCTGGAAAACACCCCAGGTCTCGAGCACACATCCATCAGGATGCAAGTCTTGGGGGTTGTAGTTCAGCATCGCTTGATCCAATTCGACGGCCCCTGAATCTGGCCCAGCAGCCCTGATCCGTTCTTCCTGAGATCTCTCGGAGATTGCCTCCCAGAGCCTTCCAGAAGCGTCCGAACGTCTCCGAAAGTCCCCTGGACGCATCCGTCGTCCCTCCCCGAGCCTGCAGGTGCGAACCCTGTGCGGGCGCACGTGCCACTTCCTCGAGGCCGGCGGGATCACGCACGCGCACCTCGAGCTGGCCAAATCCAGGCCAGCACGGGGGGCTGGGGCTCCTCGGCCTCCTCCTGCTCGATCTCCTCCTCCTCCTCGGCCTCTTCCTCCTCGGCCTCCTCCTCCTCGGCCTTCTCCTCCTGGGCATCCTCCTCCTCGGCCTGCTCCTCCTCGGCCTCCTCCTCCCTCCGCCTCCTTTCTCGGCCTCCAGGGAGGCACAGCGAGCAAGTTGGCGGGGGGGGGGGGGCTGAGCTCTTTGCCGAGGCCCTCCCCGCAGGCCGAGCAGCGCCGACTTCTCTCGGGAGTGCCTCCCCTCCCCGGGCGTGGCTCCTGCTTCTCTCGGTCGAGGCCTTCCTCGGGCGTGGCTCCCCTCCCAGGGCCCGTCCTACCTGGCCTCTCGAGCCGAGTCCCGCCGTGGCAACGATAACTTTGAACACGCGCCAAGAGAACTCCCGAAACGACGACGAAGGCATCGACGCCGCCGCCGCCGACGTCTTCGAATAGGGGCCGGGCACTGAGGGGCGGAATAATCAGTCTGATACCCGAGCTTTGCAATTGTTCCACGCTGGGCGTTTTCGCATGGTTTCGGGCCCTGGGGCCATCACAGATCGATCTGGCTGGAAGAATGCCGCAGAAAGATGCGGTCTATAGGTTCGGTCGTGATTTCTCGCGATGCTGCCGTTTGAACTATTTGTGCCACGTCGGGTCGCAGGCTAGCAGGATCAGCCTTGCGCACCTTGTCAGGAAGCTGGATTCGCGTGGCGTGGCCTGCCTGGGCGAGGGATGGATACGCGTGTGGCCGCACATCTTTCCAGCGCTCGTCAGCTCGTCCCTCGTAAGGCTGTGCGCATCGGCCATCCGCGTGCGTATCCTGCGCATGCGGATCCAGGAGTGTTAAGGATGTCTTTCGACGCCAGTACACGTTGATCCTGCTCCCGAAACTCCAGCCGCCAGGACTTTTTTATGTCGTCAACCCCCAGAGGTCTGGTCGCCTGGACCCCTTCCGGGGACCAGTTTTTCATCTCGAGTCGTCTTTGGGCCCAGAGGGGCCAGCGAGTGACCGCCAGGGCCGGAGATGATCAAAACTCTTCCGTCGTTTTTTCTACGACGCTAGGGGAGGGGGGAGATGAGGAGGAGGAGGAGGAGGAGGAGGAGGAGGAGGAGGAGGAGGAGGAGGAGGTGGCGGAGGAGGAGGCGGAGGCGGAGGCGGAGGCGGAGGCGGAGGCGGAGGCAGAGGCGGAGGAGGAGGAGGCGGAGGCGGAGGAGGCGGAGGAGGAGGTCTGGGCCCTGCTCTTCCTTCCTCAGTGCAACGGGGGGGCGCGCCCCTGGCAGAGTCCTGGCGCCCTCCTGCCCGCCCTCCTTGCCGAGTCCGTGCCGTGCCGTGCCCCACCAGCGAGAAGATGCCCGGGGAGAGGAGCAGCGGCAGCACGAGCCGGGGAGGGCCGGGAAAAGGAGGCAGGGGATGCAGCGAGGGAGGAGGCAGAAGCAGGGTGGATGAGCACGAGCAGGAGGAAACGAATGATGAGGACGACAGCGGTGGGAGAATAATGTGTGGGAAGAGGAGGAGGAGAAGGAGGAAGAGGAGGAGGAGGAGGAGGAAGAAGAAGACGAGGAGGGCGAGGTTGCATCGAATATGTCCCAGTTCCGGCTTACAGACCGACCAGAATCTCCGCCGCAGTTCCTTTGGGACGCGCCCCAAGCCCAAGCCTTCGGTGCCAGAACCGACAGACGCCTTGAATGACCATCGGCGGCGCCTCCATCCTCTCCGCCCCTTTGTAGTCCTCGGCTTTCTCCCTCGTCCTTCTCCTCTCCCTCCCTTCCTCCTCCCCCTCCTCTCTCCTCCTCCCCCCTCCCTCTCCCCCCCTCCTCCTCGTCCTCCTCCTCACCCATCTCCTCCTCCTCCTCCACCCTTGTCATCTTCTGTTTCATCCTCCACCTCCTCCTCATCCTCCTCCTCCTCCTCCGCCTTCCCCTCCTCACTCCCGCCATCCTTTCTTTACCCCCTCCTCCTCCTCCTCCTCCTCTTCCTCCTCCTCTTCTTCCTCCTCCATTTCTTCTTTAGGTTATACATATTTGTTCCAGGTGTTTTTTTTTCCAAGGCGGGCCGGGCGTTTCGCCTGAGCCTTCTTCAGCATAGCACGTTGCAACAGTTTCACGGATTGAGGGCGGGTCGTTTTCAAAGTATTTTTGCCGCATCAGCACCGCGCACAATCGTTTGAACATATTGCAAGACTTTCACGGATTGAGGGCGGGTGGTTTTCAACATGTTGTTCTCGCCTTAGCGCCGTGCACATTCGACATTCGTTTTAAATCTACTCAAGAAATTCACTGATTGAGGGCGGGGCGTTTTCAAAATGTGGTTCCCGCCTTAGCGCTGCGCACATTCGTTTAAAACGTGTGCAAGAGTTTCGCGGATTGAGGGCGGTCTCTTTTCAACATGTGGCTCACGTGGCTCTCGCATTAGCGCCGCGTGCATTCGCTTTTTAAAATATGCAAGGCCTTCACGAGTTGACGGCGGGTCGTGTTCAAAATGTTCTTCTCGCTTTAGGGCCGCGCAGGTTCGCTTTAAACATGTGCAAGAGTCTCTTGGGTTGAGGGCGGTCGCTTTTCAACATGTGGTTCTCGCTTTAGGGCCGCGCACATTGTTTTTAAAACATTTGCATGGGTTTCGCGGTTTCCCACGATCAACGCACTAGAAATGGTGTTTTGGAAACACTCAGGATTACGAGGGCGCCACAGGTACGTTGATTCGCGGTGTTGAAGTCCCACGAATGGCGGTCTGACACGATTGAGATCGTCAAGGCGCAACAGTCAGGTGGGTCAGTGGCGTTGGAGTCCCGAGAATAATGTTTTGGTATGCGTCAGGGTCATCAAATGGTTGTCTTCCAACGAGGCCGTTTCTTCAGTGGGAATGAACCGTTGTAGGGGCCTATGAAGAGGGAGCCTGGGAGGAGGGTGTATTCCTTGGTGACCCTTGGGTTTACACTGGTTCTCCTCCTCCTTCCCCTCGTCCTCCTCCTCATCTCCTCTACTCTTCATCCTCCCCTTTCTTTCTTTCATTCACCCCGGAAAACGCTCGAAAACCGTCAGCAATTTCCGTCCACCTCCAGGTTTTTCGAGCCCCCATTTCCGAAGACCCTCAAGACCCAGGCGTACGACCCCATGTTTTTGTTTCGCAGCGTGGACCCCAAGAGGTCTGGACCCCTTCTCGGGAACCGTTTTTTCCTCTTGCGTTGTTTTTGACGGCCCTGGGCCCTGACCAGCAAAGTCGGGGGCGGCCAAGAGGGGGATGATGATCGGGGGCTGGATCTCACGGCCGGGGTCGCGATATAGTCCCCTCTTCTTATTTCCACACGTCCCTTGGCCCCCCCTGGGCAGCGCACGTTCTCTGGCCATGATGTCCAGGCCCCCCTCTTGGACGCCCCCCTCTCAGGCGCCTTCGACAGAGGCCGACAACGGCCTAACCATCTTTCGACGTATTGTCTGCTCTCAGCCCGAGGAGGCCAAGAGGGACGCGTGCCGCCCCCCGGCGGAGGCTCCAGCAGCTGGACGCCGTCATGACCACCGAGGACCTCCTCACGCAGCTTTCACAGCTGACCGCCATCACTGGCTGGCGGCCCGCAACGAAGGCGCGTGCACCGACGACGTCGGACGACGGACGATCGACGACGACGACGGAGACGACGACGACGACGGAGACGACGACGACGACGACGACGACGACGACGACGACGCTCGGCGGCGCGCACAACGGGGTGGCGCGAGGGGGGTGGCATTCTAAGGAGGCGGGGGGCTTCTTGGAAGGCAGGGGCCTTCTTAGAATCGCCCGCAGGCTTCCAAGAAGATGTGGCAGAGGCCTCCCTGGGCGATTATGAGGAGGCCCTTGCTTTGTAAGAAGCTCCCCTGCCTTCCAAGAAGCCGCCATCCCTCGCTCCGCTCCCTTTGTGCGCGCCGCCAAGTCGAACCGTTGCAACTGACGACCATCACTGGCTGACTTCCCCCACAATGTCCGCACAGGCGTAAGCTTGGACACGGCTGCCTTTACGCATGCTGGTTCCAGGCCGCGCGGAGGTCTCGCACAATCAGCCGCTTGTGGCAACGCTTGCCTTCATTCAAGGGCAGGGTTGAGTGGCCCCCTGGATTCCAACAGAAAGCAAGACAAAGCAGCACGCAAACTGGCCAGCACCACGCAGGTGCTCGCGGGACCCGGGCGCGCGCCCGCGTCGTCGTCATGGCCGCCACTTCCGTTGCCGTCCTCGCCTTCGTCGTCGCCAGGGGTCCTGCGATCGGCCTGCTTCTTTTCTTTCGCAGGCCGGGCGGAGGAGGGCCCAAACCCCAGACATCCCCGCTCGATGTTGACGGCCCTTGGGCCCATCAGCGGACCCCAGACGCCGAAAACGACGAAAAGCTACGATTTGTTGTGTCTCTTGGCTGTGCAAGTCGCTCGTGACCCTCCTGGCAGCCAGCAGCCACGGCGCCGGCGGGCAGCGTTCTCCACAAGGAGAACGTATCAAGTCATCCTGCAAGCACGAGAAGCTCTGAACAAGGAGCGAAGGGCCACGGCGAGCCTCGGCGACGATTCAGTTCCCCGGCCTAGGCCAATTGTCGGCCCCGAAATCAGAGCCCCTCCTGAACTCAGAGTGGCCTTTATCCTAAAGGCGTACGCCATTCCGGCGACCCCCAGAAGCGGGAAGAAGTCCAAGGTGAGGCCTTTGGAGACTTGTTGGAGACCGTTTGGGAGCATCTGGGTGTGGGCTCTTTTGGGCTTTTTGGAGCCTCTTAGGGGGGTTCTTGGGCGCCTGCTGGCGGTCTCGGTGGCCCTTCTGAGGCGGAGAGTTCGAAATTTCCGTTTCAGTTGCCCCTCTTGGGTCCATTTTGCGCCCTGTTTGGGCCGCCGTGGGCCGTCTTTGGCCGTCTTGTGGCCCTCTCGGGGATTGCTTCAGCCGTCTTGGAGCAATCTCGGGGGCTTCTTGAGCCATCTTGGACGCTGTTGAGACCAAACAAGCGACTTGCTGAAACCTCACGTATTCTTTTAAAACATTTGGCGTTTTTTGCTTCTCGGGGCCCTTTGGGGCGTCCTCGTGGAACCATTTTGGGGCGTCTTGGAGGCTTCGTGGGCCGTCTTGAGGCCGTAGTTGGTGTTTTGGAGGCCTCCCCGGCGTGTTCGAACCCACCCTGAACCAGCTTAGATGGCACCTTGGGCATCTTGGAGGCCACGGAGTGGAGATTTCGAGGCTCCAGAGGCCGCCGGAGGCCCCTGGGCTGCCTTGACGAGCTCGCCCTCCCAACCCTCCCCTCCCCTCCCCTTTCAAACGGCAGCTTGGACTGCGGGAGAGGGGGAAAGGGGGAGGGGGACAGCCAAGTATCTCACACGCCTTCTCGCCCCCTGCAAGCGCGGGTCGGGGATTTTAGCGCCTTGGCTGCACCGATCATGGGCCCAGGATAGGCCTGGCCAGGGACGGTGCGCCTGCATACCGCATGCTCGTGCCGCGCCGACGCGGAAGCGAACGCCACCGTCGGCCTGAGCCAGGCCTAAAGTCGAGCTTGATTGGTGGGTTGACCCTGCCAAATCAAGGGTACCGTCGTGTCCTGAGTGTCGCCTTTCGCGTCCTCTGCGTTCCTTGGGCAAGGGCTGTGTCCTCGGATCGGCGGCGAGGGAGGCGGGGAAGAGAGAACGAGAAGGCCTCCTCAGAAGGCCGCGGGACTTCTCAGAAGTCCTCGCGCCTTCTCAAGGGCTCCTTGCATCCTCGGCGAAGGCTCAGCAGACTTCTCCGAAGGCCCCGGGACTTCCGCGCCCTCTGAGCAGGCCTTCCCCCCTCTCGTTTCCCCCCATGGGCTCGCCGCCGATCGCAGGGGGTCCGTCTCCTCGCGCGTGTCCTCTCCGACCACACTCGAAGACTGTACGGAGCGACCTCGGCCGCTGGAGCAGCCGCGGTGTCGCTCCAGAGGCGGAGGCGACCTCCGCTCGCGGTGCCCGGGGAGCCGCGCGCAGGAGCCGCCGCGCTTCGCGGACCTGTCCGCCTTTGGCGCTCAGCTGCCCAGAGGGCCCGACGGCCGACTCTCGGACTCGCGCGCCCTGCGTACTTCGGGCGGGTTACCGTCCTTCTTCGTCGTCGTTATTATTATTATTAGTATTATTATTATTATTATTATTATGATTATTATCATTATTATCATTATTATTATTACTATTCTTATTATTATTAGTAGTAGTATTATTATTATTGTTATTATTATTATTACGATTATTATTATTATTCTCCTCCTCCTTCTCCTCCTCCTCCTCCTCCTCCTCCTCCTCCTCCTGCTGCTCCTCCGCGCTTCCTCCCTCCCTCTTCCTCCTCCTCCCCCTCCTCCTCCACGTTCCTCCTCGCACTCGTCCTCCTCCAGCTCTTTTTCTCGTCCTCACGCCTGTCTTCTTACTCGTTGTCCTGCTCCTCCCCTCGCTGCCCTCCCCGTCGTCCACGCTGCCAGGCTGGACATCCGCCGCCCTGTCGTCGCCATTGGGACAGGACCGGGATAAATCGCTCCAGAGCGTTCCTGGACGCTCTCAGGGTGTGTTCCGGGGCGGTCTGGAACGGCCGCGGCGCTCGATGCATCCCCCAGGCACGCCGGCGTTCCGAGATCCCGAGGATGCATCCCGATCCGATGTTGTCCTGGCCCTGGCTTCGTGTCAGTGCTACCCACTCGCGGCCCGCAGCCAGAGGCGCAGGCGGGCAGCGTCGTCCACAACACCAAGTGCGCGGCGGGCACCTCCAGGCTGGCGACCGACGAGTGCAGGGCCTTCGCGCTGCCGCCCAGCGCCATGGAGCCCTCGGTGGCTGGCGGCGGCGTCCGGCGACCTTCGGCGGCGGCTGCGGCAGCGGCTGTAGCAGTGGCGACGGCGACAAGTGGGAGGGGGAGGAACGCGGAGGAGGAAAAGGAGGAGGAGGAGGAGGAAGAGGGAGGGAGGAAGCGCGGAGGAGCAGC